CTGTGAAAAAATCCAAAACAAGTTGTTTTCCTAAATGGTTCCCGGCAGAACTTAGGCATTTAACTTCTATGAAAAGAAAAGCCCATAAAAAGTATCTCAATGTTAAAACTGATTTCAACCATCAGGAGTTTTCTTTTCTTAGACCTCAGTGAAAAAAACTCTCTAGTGACTGTTGGGCTAAGTATATAAAGTCCGTTGCATGGTTCTTGAGCTACGACTACTGAATAGACTGAGGGGACAATGGGCTATTGCTGCGTTGTCATATCAATAATATTCATTAATACATGAAAATTGCAATAAAATTTCCTTCATTTTCATGTAATAATAAATATTATTGATATGACAACGCAGCAATAGCCCATTGTCCCCTCTGTCTATTTAGTAGTCGTAGCTCAAGAACCATGCAACGGACTTTTTTTATAATTAATGTTGATAACAGCTGTAAGTCCAACCCTAGGTATTTTTGGAAATTTGTTAGGGATCAAAAAAGTTCTTATAGTCTTCCCTCAAAAATGGTTTATAACGACGAAGAGTTAAGTCATGGACAGGATATTGCCAATTCATTTGGTTTTTTTTTTTTACAGTGTGTACTCATCTAGCTCTCCATTTGATCACACATTGACAGAAGTTTATCCTAACAATAATATTAATTGGCACTCGATTAACAGTCAGAGCATTTTTAAAGCAATAATGAGCCTGTCTGATAGGGTCACGGTAGGGCCCGATGGTATTCCTGAGTTACTTTTAAAGAAATGTGTCTGTACACTTACAAAACCAATCACAATTTTATTTAATAATTCTATGATTGGGTTGGGAATACCCAGAGCTCTGGAAACAAAGCTTTTCAGTGCTGATTTTTGAGAGTGGCGATAAACAGAACATAATAAATTATTGAAGCATTTGTACCCAATCTGCCATTCCAAAGCTACTTGATATGTGAGCAATTGACATGGGCCTGCCGGGGACTGATCGATGAGGCTCAGCATGGTTTTAAAACGGGCAAATCCACAACCACCAACTTGATCTTATATCAGTCATTGCTGTTGAAGGCCTTGGAAGATAAGAATCAAGTTGATGCTATCTATACATATTTTTCCAAGGCCTTTGACAGTGTTGATAATGGTTTGCTCTTTGGGAAATTGCATCAGTTTAGATTCCATTCAAGCATAATTCGATGGTTTTCTAGTTCTTTTACTGGTAGAGTACAAAAAGTTAAGATTAGTGGTTTTTTGTATGAAAATATTTTAGCAACATTTGGTGTACCTCAGGGCGGCCACTGTTCACCATTGCTTTTCAATATATTTATCAATGATATTACTCAAAATTTTCATCATAGTATACCATAAGCTTTTGCAGATGATTTCAAATTTTTTAGAATAATAAATAATGATTCTGATACTGTATTATTACCTCGATTATTACAGGAAGATTAAGGTCAATTAGTCATATGGTGCGAGGTAAATAAGCTGAAGTTAAATGTTGACAAATGTTATACAATAAGTTTTTTTAGATTCAGCAAAAAGATTAATTCTAATTATCATGTCAATAATAAAGAAATTGAATATGCACCCAAAATAAAAGACCTAAAATTTGTTGAGCATATTGAAAATGTGGTGGTGCAGTCCTCTAAGCTGTTGGGTTTTGTTTTAAGGAATTGTGAGAATTTCTCAATTAATTCTGCTAAATGTATTTACACAAGTTTAGTGAGGTCTAAATTGGATTACAGTTGCATTGTATGGTCACCACCCTATCTTAACATTAGGAAGATGTCGGTTGAGAGCGTTCATAACAAATTTTTAAGGTTCTGTGCATATTGGACTGGGGTTCGAGTGATCGATCACAACTATGAAGGCACAAGAATGAGTCTTAAACTTGAGTCCCTGGAGTGTCGTAGATTAAGGATCGAATTGCGCTTTGTTCATGATCTTCTTATTTGCCACATAGATTGCCCTCAATTGCTTGAGCAAATCATGTTTCATGTTCCTGTAAGACAAGTAAGACACAAATATCTATTTAATCTTGATTTTCACAGAACAGAATTTGGTCTGAACTCTCCTCTAAGTAGGAGTCTCTCACTGATAAATCAGAATAGTTTGGAAATTACTAGAATAACTCAGGGCAGGTTTATCAAGTTGTGTGATAGAGTGGTTGTGTAAGAGTTATGGTAGTTGCTATAGTCAGTAAATTTTTGGGTTTCTTTAACTTTAGAGATAGGAAATTATAATGAATTGTCCTTGAAATTGTCTTATAAGTATTAATGAGTATAATTTTAGCTGATCACATTTAGTTTTGTAAAAATAATATATTTTGTTGAATTGTAATATTGAGGCGGAGATAGCCCCTTTAATAAATCAATAAATGGATAGATTTGGAAATTACTGGGATAACTAAGTGCTAAAAGCAGGTTTATTGAGTTATGTGATAAGGTGGTTATGTGTAGGAGCTGCAATTGTTACATTATTGAGTTTCCTTAGCTTTGGTAATATGAAATTAGATTGTTTCATTAAATAGATAAATAAATAAATTTCTATTTGTTAAGGGTAGTTTTCCATATTTCGACTGGATTTCAGTCAATGGGATTTTGCATGGGGGTTGAGAATGGTGTTAGAATAGAATAGTATCCTATCAATGGCTCCGGTACACTTTACGGACACATAAATTTTGCAAAATTTTAAATTTCATGAGAAAGAGGCTCTTCTATAGAGTATTAAAGAAAAAAAAATTGCGGATTATCCAGTAGTTTTTGAGAAATCAATTATTTCCACTCTGTGTTGAGTTGATGCTTGTTTACGTTAAACTACCTATATTCTTTGTACATTTTTCTCGTGAAACAAGGAGCAATCTAAGAAAAAAAATTATTTAAATTTCAAGGTGTTTATTTAAAAAAGGGTTTTTCACGTTTTTGTGGATTTACGTTTCCGAGGGTCTTTTTTTGGAGATTTGGAGAAAGGAGCGAGCAATCCAAGAAAAAAAAAAATTAAATTTCAAGGTGTTATATTTAAGGGTTTTCCCGTTTTTGGTGGATATACGTTTCCGAGGATCTTCTCTTTGAGACTTGGCGAGCGGAGCGAGCAATCCAAGAAAAAAAAAACAAACAAAAAATTAAATTTCAAGGCTATATTTATAAAAGGGTTTTTCACATTTTTGGTGGATTCCGTTTCGGAAGATCTTGTATTTGAGATTTGGTGAGTGGAGCGAGCAATGGAAAACTCATAAATTAACAAAGATGGGTTAGTTTGCATAATTTTGATCAGTTTCAATACGGCACAGGGCACAGTAGTTACTATTGGTTAGAGTGCACAAATTTCAATGGTTAAATAGGTATTATACACTTTATCATTACTCAATAATGTTTTTTTTCGAAAAATGGTTTGAACACTTAGCTCTTCTTTCAGTTCGAATATCTACCACATGATGCTTTTCATTTTTATCTGCTAACCAGAGCGATTGTGATATTAGGCTGATAAGAATAGATATTATATATTGATCTGTGTCAAAGGTTGAGAAGAGGATTCACTCAATATCTTTAAAATCCAATTTATACCTAGTTATTTGCGCCAACGTTACCTTTTTCTCAAGTTTCTCTTTTTTCTTAGGGTTTTTTTCCTTCTAAATGAATATTAAGATGACAGGTTAGTTTGGATTTACTCTGTTTCGTTTAAAATGCCAACATACTAGCACTTATTACGAGCACGTGCCCAGCTGTTTGGTTTGGTTTAATTAGTTTTCAACAAAAAAAAAGTACTTACATGATCCTCAGATTTTTGGCTTTTAAACTATACACCACTCCTCACTTTTAGAATTTTGAAATTTTTGCAAATATCGAGGTACTTATAGTGCACCAGCACCTAGTTAAAAAAAGGGTTTTTCTGGTTTTTGGTGGATTTACGTTTTCAAGGATATTCTCTTTGAGATCCGGCGAACGAAGCGACAGCATCGCGAATATCACATTTTCAACAATTTAAGTTGTTTTTTTTTAAATACTGAATAATCCGCATTTTTTATTTTTTTAATAAACTACTTGAAGTACCCTCTTTCTGATAAAATTCAGAAAAACGCCAATTTTGTGTGTCCTTGAAGTGTACTGGCCCCCCTATCAATTTTATCACTAGACTTGAAGTCCAAGTTAGGGAAAAATACGAAAATCTCAAAATTTATGCATTTTTATTTGTTAAGGGTAAGTAGTTTTTCATATTTCGACAGGGTTTGAGTCAATGGTATTTTGCATGGGGATTGGAAATGGTGTGGAAATAATACCTTATCAATTTCATGGCTATACTCGAAGTCCAAGTTAGAAAAAAATACGAAAATCTCAACATTTATGCATTTTTATTTGCTAAGGGTAATTTTTCTCATTTCAACGGGGTTTAAGTCAATGGAATTTTGCATCGGGGTTGGATATGGTGTTGAAATAGTACCCTATCAATTTTATAGTTAGACAGAAATTTACAAGGAACATACTTAAGTGCAAGCCTAAGTGATTCTTATTTTTGGAGATTTTATGAAAAAACTAAAATTTGATTTTTTCTTTTTAATTTTTATTTATGTAGGTACTTACCTTATCTAAAGAGCTACAAAGAAAAAAAGAGCACTTTCTCAAAGCTATTTTCTGTGCTTTATAAAATGGTGCTACTAGATTTTAATTCCCACGTTCCATCTTTTTAGGCCCATCAACTTTTTATACAAACAAAACCACTAATAAAAACAAATAGTGGAAATGATAGACTTGAATATTTCGTTAGTGATAGTGAAACTAGAATATCTACTTAATTCATTCAACCTCAAGTTTTTAAATCCTACAAACACCAAAATGTAAATAAGATAACAACATTTGAGATTCAAAGAATTGGCTTTGCTCGCAGTTTTTGCATTGATTGTAGGAAAAATATGTACTTGTGCATGCCAGAAACATTAATTTATTATACAAAAGAACTTTTCATGCATATATAAGCATTTTTCATTGTAAATTTTTATTTAAAAACAAAAAACTGTTAACCTACATTGAAATAAGCAGCTGGTATTCTCGAGTTTTGCCCACTGTCTCGGATTTATCTTGTTCCTACGTAATTTCGCACTATTCACTAATGGGGAGTGTATTTTAGTACATTATCAAAATACGTTGAGCATTTTTCCTGATTCAATACTTTCTTTTCTTCAATCCAAATAATTATTCAAAACAAAACAAAATGGTTGGATTGGCATTGACAGACAGCTCTTCTTCTTTTTTTTGCGGTAGTGTGGTGATGGACTTAGCTACATGCTTGTTTTTGATTGGTCGATATTTTGGCGGGCTTTGTTTTGACAAGAACGAATGGGAAATAATTTGAGGTTAAGTAACTATTTGGTTTTTATCACACAAGATTCTTCATTGTTTATAAATTTTACGAAATAAGTGAAAAATAAAAACAATGAGTTCTGTTCGTTCATTTTCGTAAGTTCTATGAAACAGTTTTTTAATGCAAATCTAATTTATCACTTTTCTTAGGCCTCATCTCGGGCCTCAAGTCAGTTTGGACCGATCCCACCACAACACCTCAACAGTTTTGGAGCAAAAGCGAATTTTAAATCGAAAACGATACAAGGATAGTTTGTTTTGGTTTGGTGTTAACTTGATCCTGTTGGCTATAATCCTTTATGACCTGTAAGTACTTAAGTAATGATTCCATAAATTTGGAGTTATAAATTCCCCGAGGAATTACCCATATCTCCATGTTCTGCTTCTGAGCAAAAGTAGCAGGACAAATAAATAATGTTGGTATATGGTAGAAGCACCGTTTGAGCAGTTATATCAATTATTTTAAGAGCTACATTTGTTGTATTCGGAATTTGGAACAGATTCCCTAAAAAAACTAACGTTTTATCTTATTCTAGGAAACAAGTTTTTAAAGTTGATACATTATCATCATTCAATTTTGGTATTTTAAATGTTGTAGATACTATTTTGTACATTCAAACCAGAAAAGTGTTTTTTTTGACCTTCTCAGATTGCGAAATTGTAAAAATCTCATTCCTAGCTCTAGTAGGTATAGAGTTAAAATTCAAACAAGAGAGGCATAAAAATTCTATTCTTTTCTCACTCAATAACAGTTCCTTTATTTAGCACTCGATTTAGCACTTGGTTGTTAATATACATTCTTTTTTACAATTTCACAAAAAAGACTAAAAACAAATACCAAGTATTATTGAATTGAATTCACCTAATTCACTAAACTAAATTAAAAATTCAACCTTAATGCTAATACATTTCCCTCCACATTTCCGTTGCAGACATTTCTTACAGTATCATTCACCTATTAAGTGTTTCTTCAATTTTCTTTTGAATTAATTTAGGTAATTTAGAAATATTCCTGATATGATCAGATGAAGAATTATACACAATCAAGCCTTTGTGGAATACTGATTTCTCCTCGGATTTCTCACTACTTGCTCTATTGTTTTTTGGTATATAAAAATTTTGTTTGCTTCTTGTTGGGTACGTATGTACAGTTTTATTTGTAGCAAGTTTCTCTAATATGTAAGTAGTTGGGACTTAAATGATTATCCACCATAAAACCAAGATAATTAGTCTTTTCTCATACCTTTAAAGTGGTGTTTTCCACTTTTATACTCAAGTTACTCAATTTAAATTGTTTTTGAAATGTATCACTCCCTATAAGCATGCATTTTGTTTTTTGAATGTTCAACTTTATGACATTCTATTAAATCAGGTCCGAGATCAGGTCTATAAACCTAGCACTCCCAAGGTGGAAAAAAACTTCGGAAACTATATAATAATTAGGTGCTTTTTAGGTGCTAATTAGGGCCTCTAATTAAAAATTAGGTCCTCCTTCAGTTTTTGAGAAAATCAAAAAAAACTAAGGGACTGCTAAGTTTATGAAAGCTAACAGTCTCCTATAGTAAAACATACTTAATTTTTCAAATTTCACTTTTGTATCAGAATTAGGTGCTTTTTAGGTGCTCCTGAATAGTCAAAAAAAAAGTTGAATCAATTGATTTTTAACTAAGTTACAGATTTTTTTTCATTTGTAAGGGACTTCGGGGGCTTTACGTTTACTTGGTGATGTTTCAGAATGGAAAAAAACTTCGGGGCCTATATAATAATTAGGTGCTTTTCAGGTGCTAATTAGGGCCTCTTATTAAAAAGTAGATGCTCCTTTAGTTTTTGAGAAAATCAAAAAAAAAACTAAAGGATCACTAGGTTTATGAAAGCTAGCAGTCCCCTATAGTAAAAAATATTTTTTCAAATTTTTCTTTTGTATCAGAATTAGGTACTTTTCAGCTCCTGAATTGTTGAAGAAAAAATTAGATCGATTGATTATCAACTGAGTTACAGATTTTTTTTCATTTTTAGGGGACTGCTGGCTTTATGTTTATTTGGTGGTATGTCAGAACGGAAAAAAACTTCGGCGTCTATATAATAATCAGGTGCTTTTTAGGTGCTAATTAGGGCCCCTAATTAAAAATTAGGTGCTCCTTCAGTTTTTGAGAAAATTTAAAAAAAAACTGAGGGACTGCTAGGTTTATGAAATTTTTAGCAGTCCCCTCCTATAGTAAAACATATGTTTTCAAATTTTACTTTTGTATCAGAATTAGCTGCTTTTTAGGTGCTCCTGAATAGTCGAAGAAAAAATTGAATCGATTGATTTTTAACTGAGTTACAGATTTTTTTTTATTATTACGGGATTGCTGGCTTTACGTTTACTTGGTGATATGTCAGATTGGAAAAAAACTTCGGGGTCTATATAATAATTAGGTGCTTTTCAGGTGCTAATTAGGGCCTCTAATTAAAAATTAGGTGCTCCTTTAGTTTTTGAGAAAATAAACAAAAACTAAGGGACCGCTAGGTTTATGGAAGCCTAGAGTCCCCTATAGTAAAAAATATTTTTTCAAATTTTCCTTTGTATGAAAATTAGGTGCTTTTTAGGTGCTCCTAAATAGTCGAACAAAAAATTAAATGGATTGATTATTAACTGAGTTACAGATATTTTTTAAATTTTTGTGGTTCCTTAAATTAACACAACGAAAATAGCACACATCAGAAAAACTAGAGTACTAAATTCGGGCCTATTTAGTGCTAATTTAGTACGAAAAAAAAAATGTATAACTCTATTTTTAAAAAAATTACGTGCATGTGTGCCAGCTTAAGATTAAGCTGGCACACTCTAGTTGGATAAGGTCGAATCTTTGAAAATCTAGTACCTCATATTTAGTGCTAATTTGGTACATTCATGGCACGCCTAAAAAACTAACAATGATGTATTTATTACGAAATAAATAAAAGTGCTAACTTAAGACTTGAATTAAGGTTTAAAGTCAGGCATATAGTTTATTACAGCAACGCGAGATGTCAGTACTGTCGCCCCTATAGTGTGCCCTAACTTGATAGTCAAAAAAAATAGAAATCTGCATTTGATTAAATTGTGTGATGAAAAACAGCAAAATTTCCAGGATCGATGGATAATCATTTAAAATGTTTAATTTTGTCTAAAAAAAAGGCACATCAAAACTATAAAAATACTATGTCCGCTCAGGATTATGGAGTTTTTTCAGAAATTAGGAAAGAATGTAAAATTTATTCTCATATCAGCCATAGGAATTTCATTGAGAAAATCGAGTCCGAGTCACAGGACAGAAATGGATTTTGGAGATATGTACGATCGAAAAATGAAAATCGTGGATATCCCAGTTCTATGTTTCTTGATGAGCATGAAGGTAGCACACCTCATGAAATTGTCAATCTCTTTAAGGATAGTTTTTCCTCGGTTTATACTGAGGTGAGTGTTGAGAGTGATCGAAACACTCCTGTCTCTAATTCATCTAGTTTGTCTAATTGCAGTATCAGTTCGGTTCAAATTACCCCTCTTGATATATTTAACAAGATACATTCATTGAAGAATGGTTTGGGTTGTGGTCCTGATGACATCCCAGTATTATTTGTTAAGAATTGTAGTTGTATTCTTTCAGAGATATTATGTAAAATATTCAATAAGGCTTTAGAGTTGGGACGGTTTCCTGATATGTGGAAATTAAGCTATATAACTCCTGTGTTTAAAAGTGGAGAAAGAAATAATATTAAAAACTATAGGGCCATATCCAGAATGTCTATTTTTTCTAAGGTATTTGAGTCTATAATAACGGATTTTCTTACACCAATTTTGAAACATGTTATTGTACCAGAACAGCATGGCTTTATTAAGGGTAGATCTACATTGACTAATCTTCTGGTCTATGAGGAGGCTCTGTTGGAGGGCTTGGAGAATAAGTGTCAGATTGACTCGGTCTACACTGACTTCTTTGCCTTTGACAGGGTTGACCATAAGATACTATTGGAGAAGGTGGCCGATGTGGGGCTGCATGGAGGTCTATTGAGCTTGATTGGAAGTCTTCTCACAGGTAGAAAACAGGCTGTAAAAATTGAGAATTACATCTCTTCAGTATTTTCGGTGACCTCGGGGGTGCCTCAGGGAGGACACCTGTCTCCTTTGCTGTTTAGTATATTTATTAATGATCTGTCAGGTGTCTTCAGAAATTCCGATTTTTTGCTCTTGGCTGATGACTTGAAGTGTTTTATGGTTGTTCGGGATGTCAGGGATGCTCAATTATTATTGCAAGTGGACTTGGATATGTTTCGGACTTGGTGTCAAAGAAACAAACTCCCCTTAAATGTTGAGAAGTGTAAGATTATTACTTTTTCTCGGAAAAAAACACAATACTTACATAATTACGTTCTTAATGATTTGGAGATTAACAGGGTTGAAACTATTAGAGACTTGGGAGTCTATTTCAACACTAATGTAAGCTTCACAGAGCACATTGAAATAACTGCTAATAAAGCAATGAAATTACTAGGCTTTATGTTCAGGTCACTAAAAGAATTTACTAATATCTACACCCTAAGAAACATTTATTGTGCAATTGTTAGATCAGTTGTAGAATATGCTTGCCCTGTCTGGTCCCCTTATTATGCTGTGCACATCTCCCACTTGGAACGAATCCAAAAAAAGTTTTTAAGATCCATTGCATATCGATTGGGCATCCCAAGTGAATCTATAAATTATAATGAGTTAATGTCTGTCCTAAATCTTGAAAATCTGAACCAGAGGCGACAGTTTTTTGATATGTGTACTTTGTTTAAGATTGTTAATAATTCTATTGATTCTCCAGACTTACTTGCTAGAATTGGCTTACATGTACCATCTAGCAATTTAAGAGGAAACACATTGTTTAACCTTGATTTTCGTAGAACCAATTATGGTTACCATTCACCTTTACTTAGAAGCTGTCGTTCTCTGAATGATATTATTTTGAAGACTGATTTGGATGTTTTTAACATAAGTTTGGATAGATTCAAAAGAATTTTAAAGTCGATCCTAAAATGATCGTTTTTTCTATTTGTATTCAATTTTAAGCGTATTATGTTGTTTGTGTTTTGATACCTACTACAAAATATTTGTTTAGGCTTATGTAATGTTGTTTTTTTATACTAACTTGTCTGTTGCCTACTAATTCCCGAAGTTTTTTTCCACCTTGGGACTGCTAGGTTTATAGACCTTATTAAATCACTTGTGTAGTTGTGCGAGTTCCAAATTAATAAATTCAGTTAAATGATTAAAATCATTCGAACCAAAATATAATAATGTG